TGAGATCTTCCTTAGCATAGATAGTTGCTGGATAGCCGTAACTACTCAGATACAATATATGCCAACCCAGTCCTTTAGCAAAAGTATGGTAAAGAGTTTAGGTCAGGAAATAAGTGAGACCTATGGTACTCTTACTCTCAATTGTTATGTGTAATTCAAGAAGAGCATCCACCACTCTCATTTTTTCAAAATTTTCTCAAATTTCCTTCATCTTCCACACTCTCAGTGTATCTTTGAATTATCCACACTTGTTCTTATTGTTTTCTTTTCTCATTCCATTTTCCTTTCTCATTCCACTTCTCTTTCCATATTTTTAATCATAATCTAACTTGATATTTCCACATGAATATTTTGTTCATCTTTTTCTTGTTTTATTTTATCCAAGTTCATTAACTATCAAACAATCATTGTCAAAAGTTGGTCACTTCCGGACTCAGTTCACAATATACATACAAATATGCTCAAAATAGATATCATTCAGATCATAAAATATATAAAAGCATATTTCAGTCCATCATATATTCACAATCATACATCACACCACAATGAGAGAGAGCTCTCCTTATCTCAGTGGAAGTTTAGTGAAAAAACTAGTGGAAAAGGTCATTCAAAGGTTAAGGTCGTCCTACACATTATAGAGAAGAATATTCTTTGAGAAGGGAGAAAACAAAGAAAATAGAGGTGAGAACGAAGAACCAAGCTCTGAGATATTCACCAACGATTCTGTAGAGTTGAGGTTTAAGCTTGGATTCAGAGTAACTTCAAAGTTTTAGAGGCTTTTCTTTGGTGAAGGGAGGAGAGAGTTCAGAGAAAAAGAGTTAAGAAATGTTTCTTGGATTGTAATGCAAGTCTCAGGTCTGAGAATCTCTTAAATACCCCTAAATTTTCATGCATTCTTGCTTAAGCGAGCGAGCTCTCGCTTAAGTGAGACCAATCTCGTCTGGGCGAGTGAATTCTTGCCTAAGCGAGTATACTAGATAGTGGTTCCTCAAGCGTTTTTTGTAATTCTCACTTGAGCAAGATTCATTCTCGCCTGAGCGAGATGACGTATAGAGAGTTGGATGTTTTTCCTGTGAGTCTTTGCCTAATCAACTCATCTCGCCTGTATGAGAACTTTGCTCGCCAAAGAGAGATCACTCTCGCATGGGCGAGGTGACAATTGGGTTGAGTTTATCCCATTCTCTCCTGAGCGAGACTTATCTCGCTTATGCGAGAATGCTCTGAATTCTTATGGTTCTAGACGCTTAGTCTCGCTTGAGTGAGACCTCCCTTCATCAGACTTTTACCAAAACACCCATAAATATTCCTAAACACATTCTAACACTATATAACATCAATCAATTCACCAATAATTAAGTAAATGAAAAAAAAGGTGTTACAATATAGGGTAATTAGAGACCTTGAATGTATAATTCTTTGATATTATATTTTGCTAGTTAAAGATTTAATATTGACCTTGTGAACTAATATAGTATAGAATGCATTAAATCCTAGGAGTACAAGGTGTAAAGTGGTATGAGACGTCTTATATCTTGTTCAAATGTCAAGTCGGTCTTTAGAGTTATCAAAGAGGAAAGTTTGACAAGGTCGTTGTAACTTGAAAGGATGCTTGATTGGACTGTTCATATGATAGATGGTGGGAGAATGATTCAATAAGATAAGAACATGAATTAACTTCAATTATGTGTTGAAAAATAAAATAAAATAAAATAGAGTATTTTTGTCGTAAAAAAAGTTCATTGCTACAAATAATCAATTTTGGTTTATAATGAAAAGCTCATGAAGGAAAAAATTTCAAATTTTAGATTCCCAATTTGTATAAAGTACTTAGAGAAAGGTCCGTTACGACATTCTTTCTCACATGACTGAGCTCAAAATGTTAACTATTTCTTATGTCAATCTCATTATTTCTCTTCTAAGACAGATTCATTCTAACCTTACCCACATTGATTTTCTAACAACAAACTCAAAGGAATAGTACTTGATAGTCATATTTTAATACATCTTTCTCTCTATGTTTTTGATTTAATTGAGTCTTTTTAGTATATTATTTTGATGTGTTAGTTTAGATTTGTGTTGGTAAGTCATTTAGGATTTAAATTTAAATCTTTCTTAATTCCCGCCATAAATTCTTGTTTTGACACAGTTTCTTGAAAAGCCATATCTGGAGCTACACTACTTGGACAAAATTGGTGTCCTGGAAAGATAAGAGAGAGATCTACAACTTCTCTCTTGCGAGAAAAGCCCAGTTCAAACATCTTTAGGCCCAAAACTGCGTCACAATGTTGCGGTCCTGCAATGAATTTTTCAGAATTTGGTTTTATTGTTGACATTACTTAATTAGGGTTTTAGGAACCTCGTTAGGAAGCTGGCCTTAATTAAGCCCAATTATTTTGTCTTTAAATAGGGTTTATGATTTCGCGTAGGGATCTTCTTCCCTCTTTTTTGCCTTAATTTTCAGAATTTTAAAAAAAAGCTTTCGTAAGGATTCCTCTCGTCTCCCTCTCTTTTATTTTCGGAAACTTCATCCCCTTCTCTAATTGGTCGAGCAACATGATTATGAAGCAAGGCTAATTCATCAACCGGTTCAAGGTTTCAAAAACTACATTGCATTCGAGTTTCAAAATAGGTTTTATCGAATTCCTCCTTTCCTTCCTCTTTTCTAATTAGGTTAATTACGTTTTTCATTATATGGAATTTTTGTTGCATCCTAAATAGAAAGAATAGGTTAATTTCAGATTTGAATTAATTGGATTCACCTAATTTAATCAATCAATTGTTCTAAATTTTGTTAAAGCTTTGGGTTTGCGATTGCGGTTCTTGTTTTGATGGAATTCATAATCTAGATTTAGATTTTAGGGTTGTTGATGTGGATTGAATTAGTGTGATTGGAAATTCGTTGGGATTATATTTGTGTGAATGACGAGAATTGCATTGTAGGGATTGAGATCTTGAATTGGTTGAATTTCATAATCCTTAATTTTCATTTTTGTTATTTTGTCGTTTAAATTCAAAATAAATCCTCCCCCAATCTAATTTGAAATTGCATGATGGAACTAAAAATAAAATGCATTTTATGTCCTTGAGAGATGACCTAGGTTTGCTTCTTGTATTGCACAAATTTTGAGAAAATCTAGCTTGTTTGATACCATTGCGACGTGTTTATCAAAATGGCGCCATTGCTGGGGACATAAGTCATTTTGTTTTTATTTCATCATTCTATGATTGTGTGTTTTTGTGATTCACTCTTCTGCGTTTGCGTTTTCGTGTGCATTTTTGTTTGTGTTTTCGTGTGTCTTGGGCGTTTTCGTTTTCGTCGTAGGGATTCTGTTTGTCTATTTTTTTTTTTTGTTTATTACATTTAGTTTTGCAGATTTAATTCGTGTTTTTAGTGTTTAGTTGTGTGATTGGTGCCATTGTGGTCAATTGTGTGTGGCTGGATGCGAAAAACAGAGGACTAGTAGGAATAGAAAACATAGATGCTGCATAATTGCTATCAGATTTCACTGTTCATCGTGCACTGTTCACACACTATTCATGCACTATTCATCCGATTTTGAAAAATTCCAAAAAAAATAGCTAGAGATTGAATTTTGATCTGAATTTTTGTGTCCACATTTCTTTTAGTGTCTATTAGTGTTTAGAGTTGGTAGATTGCAAAAATCATTTATTGAAAAAAAAGATACATCTTGGTGGCCGAGAAAATTTTTGCGAAACTTTGAAGTGGCATAACTTTTGCTAGAAAACTCAGAATTGAGCTTTTGCATATGCATTTGGGGTAGAAAAAAATTTCCTATTCAATGCATCCGGTAAAGCCGATTGAGGCTGCCCAGAATTTCAAAAATTGCTTGTTTTCTAAAAGTTTTTTATTTTTCAGTATTTATTGACCTATTTTTCTTGACTTTAGGCTTCTAGTTCCCATAGCAATTCAATTCAAAAAAATCTGAAAATTTTTGTGGTGTTTTCCCATACCAAAAAGAGATTTATCATGGTCCCCCTTCATTCATATCTTACATTTTGATGGTACTTGCTTTGTAAACTGACTTTGTGCATTCATTGAGTATTTTCTGTTCTTGTTGGTTCTAACCTTGAATGACCAGGGCCAACCCTGTTATATTGCATGAACCTGACCCTGAAATAGAAAGAACACTTCGGAGGATAAGATCTAGCAAAAACAGTGGTAGTGGTAGTGGTAGTGGTAGCTTACTTGGTGATTCTGAAACTATTACTGTTATTCCTGTTGTTAGGGAGAACATGGCTGATAATCCTGAGCTAACTTTGAAGGAATTGGCCACACCTAATGTTGTGTATCAGTCATGGTGTGTCCAATATCCTGAAGATGAAACAACCTCTTATGAGCTTAAATCTGGACTTATCCATTTGTTGCCAAAGTTTCATGGACTTGTAGGTGAAGATACCACAAGCATTTAAAAGAGTTCCATGTGGTGTGTTCCACCATGAGACCACAAGGAGTGCCTGAAGACCATGTCAAGATGAAGGCATTCCCCTTCTCCCTGGATGGTGTTGCGAAGGATTGGCTCTACTTCCTACCTTCAACAATCACCACATGGAATCAAATGAAGAGGTTATTTCTGGAGAAATTCTTCCCTGCCTCCAGAACCGCTGCAATAAGAAAAGAGATTTGTGGTATAAGGCAGCTGAATGGAGAGACCTTGTATGACTACTGGGAGAGATTCAACAAGCTGTGTGCTACCTGCCCTCACCATCAGATAAGTGAGCAATTACTAATTCAATATTTTTATGAAGGGCTAACTTTGATGGACAGGAGCATGATAGATGCAGCAAGTGGAGGAGCATTGATGGACAAGACACCACAGGCTGTGAGATAGCTTATTACAAACATGGCAGCCAACACTCAACAATTCAGATTCAGAGGAGCCGCTAAGGGAGTGAATGAGATAGCACTTGGTGCTGGTACTGGTGCTGTTCATGGTGTGGAAAATCAAAGGCTGGAAAACAAAATCAATGAGCTGACCACCATGGTGAGGCATTTGGCAATTGGCCAACAACAAGTGAATCCAGTAAGTGAGCAGCTAGCAAGAGTCTGTGGGATATGTACTTCCACTGAGCATCCTACAGATTCATGCCCTACCCTGCAAGAGACGGATGCGAATGTTTCTGGAATCTACACCAACCAACAGCAGCAATATAGATCTCCACACCAACAGCAGAATTATAACCCGTACTCTCAGACATATAACCCGGGATGGAGAGATCATCCAAACCTGAAATGGGGGCAGCAGCAACAAGGTCAACAATCTTCATTTCAACCTGCTGCAGGAAAATATCAGCCTCCATTCAGGCAACAGCCACCTCCACCTTCAACACCTCCTCCTGCACAAAGGAGCGAGCCATCATTCCAAGAGATGATGCAGCAGATGGCTGCAAACAACCTGCAGTTTCAATAGAACATGCAAGCAACCGTCCAGGATTTGAAGATTCAGGTTGGACAGCTAGCCACTCAAGTGAGTCAGATTCAGTCTCAAGGCTCCAGTAATTTGCCTTCTCAAACAGTCATGAATCCAAAGGGCAATGTGAGTGCTATTACCCTGCGAAGTGGAAAAGAGTTACCAGCAGTTGTAGCTACAGCACCAGATTCTGAAAATGAGAGTAGTGCCACTGAAAAACATGTTCTGTTGCCTTTCCTGAGCAGACCAGTAGTAGCAAGAAAAAAACTAGAGTCGGACAATGAGTTGCTGGACATGTTCAGCAGAATAGAAGTAAATATTCCCCTCCTTGACGCCATCCGATAAGTTCCAAAATATGCAAAGTTCCTAAAGGAATTGTGTACCAACAAGAGGAAGCTAAAGGGCAATGAGAGAGTGAGCATGGGAAGAAATGGCTTTGCACTCCTCCAAAATAAAAATGTGTCTGCAATCATTCCACAAAACTTGCTCCCTGAGTTGCCACAGAAGTGCAAGGATCCAGGAACTTTCACCATCCCTTGCACTATTGGAGAGGAAGTTTTTACAAATGCTATGTTGGATTTAGGTGCTTCAATAATGATATGCCTGCATCTGTTTTTAGATCCTTGCAGATTGGAGATTTGATTCCTACAGGAATTGTAGTCCAGCTAGCAAACAAGAGCACTGTGCAGCCACTTGGTGTCATAGAAGATGTTCTTGTCAAAGTTGAGGACCTCTTTTTCCCTGCTGATTTTTATATTCTAGAGATGGAGGATGACCTGCCCAGCCATGCTACATTGATCCTTGGGAGACCATTCTTGAGGACGACGCGAAAAAAGATAGATGTGCATGCAGGGACCCTTTCTATGGAGTTTGGTGACAATTTGGTGCAGTTCAACATTTTTGAGGCAATAAGACACTCAACAGAAAACCATTATGTTTTCAGTTTAGATGTTATTGATTTACTTGTTGATGATTGTACAAATTTAGATGATTTGTTTGCTGATTCCTCAGACCTTACTGACCCATCATGTGCTTGTGATGATTCTTCTATGTGTGTTGTTTGTAGTGTTGATGTTGCAGGTGCAGCAGATATGGTTACACCAGTAGATGATTCACTACCAGCAGTTGATCTAGCTCCATCTCCATCAATAGAGCTTAAGCCTTTACCTGCACATCTGAAGTATGCTTACCTAGAGGACAACCAGCGACTTCCTGTCATTATAGGTCGGGATCTCAAATCTGATCAAGAGGAGAGATTACTGCAGGTCTTGAGAGATCATAGGAAGGCCATTGGTTGGACCCTTGCTGATCTTCCTGGAATTAGTCCTGCCATTTGTATGCACCGAATTTTATTGGAGGATGAGTTTCAACCTGTGAGACAGCCACAGAGGCGACTCAACCCTATTATTCTAGATGTTGTGAAGAAGGGGGTCACAAAGCTACTGGCAGCAGGTATTATTTATCCTATTTCTGACAGTAAGTGGGTTAGTCCTGTGCAGGTGGTCCCAAAGAAGACTGGGATGACTGTGGTGAAGAACCAGGATGATGAGTTGGTTCCAACTAGAGTTCAAAACAGTTGGCGAGTTTGCGTAGATTACAGGAGACTTAACCAAGCAACTCGCAAGGATCATTTTCCTCTTCCATTCATCGGTCAGGTATTGGAAAGGCTGGCAGGTAAATCCCACTACTGCTTTTTAGATGGATTTTTTGGGTACATGCAGCTTCATATTGCACCAGAGGACCAGCACAAGACCACATTCACCTGCCCATTTGGTACATTTGCTTACACTAGGATGCCATTTGGCTTGTGCAATGCTCCGGGCACCTTTCAGAGGTGTATGGTTAGTATATTTTCTGACCTTTTGGAGAGTTGCATGGAGGTGTTTATGGATGATTTTACTGTCTATGGTTCTTCATTTGATGCATGCCTAGAGAATTTATCTAAGGTGTTACATAGGTGCATCCAAACTAACCTTGTGTTAAATTTTGAAAAGTGTCATTTTTTGGTCACACAGGGTATAGTCTTGGGTCACTTAGTCTCCAGTCAGGGTATTCAGGTTGATAAGGCTAAAATTGATATCATTGCTTCTCTACCTTACCCCACTTCTGTGAGAGAAGTGCGTTCCTTTCTTGGACATGCAGGTTTTTACAGGAGGTTTATACAGGACTTCAGTAAGATAGCATTACCATTGTCCAAGCTGCTGCAGAAGGAAGTAGAGTTTGTTTTTTATGAGCCCTGTCAGCTAGCTTTTCAGGAGCTGAAGAGGCGGCTGACCACCACACCCATTGTTCAGCCACCTGATTGGGAGCTTCCTTTTGAGCTCAAGTGCGACGCATCCAACTTTGCACTTGGAGCTGTTTTAGCTCAGCGGGTTGGGAGACTTTCTCATGTTATAGCCTATGCTTCTCTCACGTTGGATACAACTCAAGTTAATTACACTACTACTGAGAAAGAGCTTCTAGCTATTGTATTTGCCTTAGATAAATTTCGTTCATATTTGCTAGGCTCTAGGATTATTGTGTTTTCTGACCATGCAGCTTTGAAATTCTTGTTGAAGAAGCCCGATGCTAAACCTAGATTGATCAGGTGGATGCTTCTCCTTCAAGAGTTTGATGTTGAGATCAAAGATAGGAGTGGTGCAGAGAACTTGGTAGCAGACCACTTGAGTAGGATTGAGGGAGGGAATGTTGATCCCTTTCCTATTAGAGATGATTTTCCTGAGGAGCAGTTGATGCAGTTGCATGATATTACTCCTTGGTTTACTGATATTGTGAATTACTTGGTTGTAGGTGTCTTTCCTCCAGATGCATCTAGAGCACAGATAGCCAAACTGAAAAGTGAGGCTAAATATTATGTTTGGGATGACCCTTATTTGTGGAGATTTTGCAGTGACCAGGTAATCCGCAGGTGCATTCCAGATCAGGAGATCCATTCTGTGCTTCAGTTTTGTCATAGTTCACCTGTGGGAGGACATTATGGATCATACAGGACAGCTAGGAAGGTGTTGGAAAGTGGGTTTTACTGGCCTACCATTTTCAGAGATGCACATCAGATCTCTAGCACCTGTGAGCAGTGTGAAAGAGCAGGGACGGCCATTACACACAGGCATGAGATGCCCCAGCAACCGATCATTTTCTGTGAGGTTTTTGATGTTTGGGGTATTGATTTTATGGGTCCATTCCCTGCATCTTTTGGTTACACATTCATTTTACTAGCTATTGATTATGTTTCTAAATGGGTGGAGGCTAAGGCCACCAAAACTAATGATTCCAAAGTTGTTGTGGATTTTGTTAGATCCAACATTTTTTGCAGATTCAGTGTGCCTAAAGCCATTATCAGTGACAGGGGAAGCCACTTCTGCAATAGGAGCATGCAGGCTTTGCTTCATAAGTATGGGGTTGTGCATAGAGTGTCTACAGCTTATCATCCCCAAACTAATGGGTAGGCTGAGGTTTTTAACAGGGAAATCAAGCAGATTTTGTAGAAGATAGTCCACCCCAATAGAAAGGATTGGAGCAAATTTTTGGAGGATGCTCTTTGGGCCCATAGGACGGCTTACCGGACACCGATTGGGATGTCCCCTTACAGGATTGTGTTTGGTAAAGCATGTCATCTGCCCGTTGAGATCGAGCATAGAGCATATTGGGCGGTTAAACATTGTAACTTAGAGTTTGAACAAGCAGGTATGGAAAGGAAGCTTCAATTACAACAACTTGAGGAGCTTCGGTTGAAGGCCTATGAGAGCTCAAAGATCTATAAAGAAAAAGTCAAACGTTTTCATGATAGAAATATTTTAAGAAAGGAGTTCAAAGTGGGCCAACAAGTTCTTTTGTTCAATTCCCGCCTAAAACTTATAGCCGGTAAACTTAGATCTAGATGGGATGGTCCTTTTGTTATTACTAATGTGTTTTCCCATGGTGCAGTTGAGATTAAGAATGAAGTTACCGGTAGCATTTTCAAGGTCAATGGACATCAACTCAAGGAATTTCATCAAAGTCCAAAGTTGGAGGAGAAAAATGTAGAAAGCATAGCCTTGTAAGCACCAACCCTTGGACCTTGAGGGAGTTCTTTCCCCATTCTATATTCTTTGAAATTGTCTTTGTTGTGTTGCTGCATTGAGGGCAATGTGATTTTTAGTGTGGGGGGAGTTGCATGCATATTGTGTTGCTATTTTCTGTTTTCGTTTTTCTGGTTTGCTGTTTTCATTTTCTGTTCTGCAGTTTTTGTTTTCATTTTCTGCTGTAGTTTTCGTTTTCTGTTGCAGATTTCGTTTTTCTGCTGCTGTTTATAATTCTATTTTCTGTTTTTCTGCTGTTTTGGAGTACGAATTTTGCATGTTTTTGTGCCTCTACTTTTCTGTTTTGATGATGTTTTGTTGGAGTAGTTACACAAATTTTCATTCTTTCCTTTTAATTTCTAGATGTAGGAATTGTGAAAGTTGTTACACCATTTTTAGTTGATAGGTTGCAATACTTGATATGAGTCATTTTTACATTTTTAGTTGAGCAAGTTACTTGAAAAAGGATGAGTTTGATTCATTAATGATAGAATATGAACCTTGTGAGAATTTTGAGCATATTTTACTTCTTTCTTGTGTGATTTCACTCATGCTGCTAGATTACCTTTGGTTTTGCCTTGTATCTTTTTGAAGCTTCTTGTCACATGCATTATTGATATGATTTAGGCCTTCTTTCAAAATGTAGCCACTTTGCCAAATTGACTTACCTCGCATTAATTCCACTTGTTTACCCCCTTTGAGCCTTTATAACCCTTCCTTGACTTTAGCTCATTATGAACTATAAAAAAAAAATAAAAATTAAATAACCATGATGTTCCATAACCTTAGGGATTAAAAGAGCTTTGGAATTGTTTTGGGAATGGGTCTTTAATAAGTGTGGGGGTACTTCTAGGGAATGCTTATTCTAAATTATGGATATTGATGTTGAGTTGTTTGGTATTAAGTGAAAAAAAAAATTAAAAAAAAAATGTGTTGCAAGAC